TTACATGATCTTCGGTTAACATAAATTACAAATAAATAATAAATACATTAAATAATAATATAATAAAAATAAATAAATTAATATTCTACAACATTTCCTCCTTAGTATTGAGCTCCTACGAAATACTCCATATTTTGAGAAAGTTGTTCTCTACATTTTCGAATAAAATAATCAAAGTTTACACTAGTTAAATGATATAACCAATTAGGAATAATATATCTAAATTGAAAGATTGAAAATTCTCCAAGTACAGACAATAATCTCTACGCTCTATTTGCAACAGTTAAGAATTGAGCATTATTTTGACCGGTTATTTGTTGAACTTCTTGTTTCAGTTGTTTCATAGTTAATTGTCATTCAACAAGATCTTTTGATAACACTGGTCGAAAATTGATAAAACATACATATATCAGGTACCTGATATGTGCATGGTATGTCCCTAATATCAGATATATATCAGGTACTCGATAGATATAGAAAATATTTTTTTGCACTTATCAGGTACCTGATATATATATATAAAATATTTTTTACACCTATCGGATATCCGATATACGTCCGATATTAGGAATGTACCATGCACATATCAGGTATCCGATATATGTATGTTTTATCAATTTTTGACCAGTGTAATAAAGACTAGGATTTCGAGTACGCAAAGAGTCATTGTCCATTTGTTTTTGCAATATCAATGACAACACTTACAAGAGATAGGATATCTCCTTTATTATATAATTCAAGGTCAAGATTAACTTCAGCATTGCATGCATCTTCAATATATTTGTTAAAGTTTTGGGGTCGTGTTCGTCGATAGTGAGTAGGAATTGTTAAAGAGGTTTGTTGAGAGTTACTTTGTACAATAATTCGTGTAGAGGTCATTTGTATATTAACAGAAGTGTAATCTAATTGTAAACTTTGGTAAAGTTCTAATAATCTAGCATGTTGAGTTTCTGAAAGTTGAAGTTCCATGATTTGTAAAAATTTTCAGAACTTGAGAAAAATAAGGTCCTTTATATAATAAAATTTGTGTTCAAGTGTTTAATTAAACTTTGACTAATTTGAAGTGATTATCACACAAGGTTCTACAAGATGCCTTTGTTTATAATGTTTTAATCTCTCTGCATGAATAGGATTAAGTAATGTATTATCAATTTTATCCCTTATCAAGTAAACCTTATTACCTAACTTCTTTTCTATTCAAAATGGTCCTATCCATTTAGAATTAAACTTTTGTCCATGCACCTGTTTTTTAACAGAATCATATAATAATACAATATTATTTTCATGATACTTATAAGCTTTAGCCAAATGTTTTTGCCTTTCCTTTTGTAGTTCTTGTACACTTGTTACATTTCTTGAGGAGATTATGAGTGCGTCAGTGAAGGTTCCTATTAAAGAACTGATCCTTTGTTCTAAAGTCTCTTCATAAGTTAAAACAGAATGATTTTTCTTATCATTAAACTCGACATCAATAGAAAGTTGTGCTTCTCTTCCATGTACTAAATAAAAGGAAGTATACTTTGTTGATTTATGCTTTAAGGTACGATAAGCAAAGAGTATGGAAGGTATCAATTGATCCCAATTAGATTAACTGGTTTGTAAACATTTTGCAATAGATCTACACAAGGTTCCATTGAATCTTTCTGTTAATCTATTTGTTTGAGGATGGTAAGACGATGCCAATTTGTGTTGAAATTATACATGCCACCCAAATTCCAAAATAATTTGGGATTTGGGTGGTAGAATAGGCCCAAATTATTTGGGTTTCAAAGGTCAAAAAAGCCTAAAGCCCAAATTATTTTTGGTAGCCCAAATTATTTTTGACAGTTCAAATTATTTTTGGCAGTGGAAAAAATATTTGAAACCAATTACTTATTTAAAATTTGT